TGTTTGTTAGTTGTTAGTCCATATTTTTGTTGAGGAAAAGAAATTGAGGTGCTGCTAATTCTGTAGGAAATTATATCATATTGGTAGAACATTGTGAGTAATGATTAGGTAATGATTATATGCTAATCATAAGGGGTTGCGATAACATAGAATGAATCATTGGTTTGGGACTAAGGTTCCACAATCTGCATGTCATCTACTAAGCTGTCGATGGAACGAGTTGGTCTTTTGCTTCTTTTCTTTTCATAGTTATTACATTATAATTCAAGCTTTGCTATATTGAGATAAATAATTAAATATACTGGTATAAAATTATTTGAATATCATTAAGTTGATGATATATGGAGAACATTGAAAGAGTTGACATGTTATTGGCATCAAAATTAGGAATTTGATTATAGATTTGAGTGAATTTTTGGGTCTAGGCTAGACAAAAAGTAATGTGGGTGTTTTTAGTTTCAAGACCTTATTGTGATTATTAATGTGAATAGATTGCTTTGAGTTGGAAGTTCAACGAAAGGGGAAGGCTCAAGTCCCGAAGTAAATTCTTATTTGATTCAGGCAAGTGGATTTCTAAACCCTTGTTAAGTGTATGGAATTCATGTATTTCCTTGTAATATGTGTTTAGGGTAATGAGGCTTGGTGATGGGTTGACTTAGCCACATTGATTAATTCTAATGATGAAAAAGGGATAATAAAAGGCAATGTGATCAATGGTTTGTGTGATGTGTTGAGAATTGTTTGAAATGCTTGTTGAATCATTGTTGATGTTGTATCCTGATTGTCTTGTTGTGAATTGTGCAATGTTATGAAAATGGTCATCTTCTCATTATTTGTGTGAACATGTCATTTGCATTGTTCTGAGACATGGTTGTGACAAGTGTTATGTGCATTGAGAAAGAATAAGAAAATAAAGAGGATGTACCATTTCGAGGGACGTATCGCGCGCCGCGATGGATACTATATTTCGAGGGACGTGTCGCGCGCCGCGACGGATACTATATTTCGAGGGACGTATCGCGCGCCGCGATGGTTACTATTATCGAGGGTCGTATCGCGCGCCGCGATGGATGCATGGACAGATATGTCCCCCATGGGTCCCGGACTGAGAGACAGCGGGTGTGTATCATTAGGTCAGACATGCATCACTATACTTGACATTGCATTGCACTTCTTTATTATTGGTGAACTTGATCTTGTGTGTTGTTGATCTTGTGAGTGCCTTTCTATGTTGAGGATATGAAACTAATGTTGTTGTTGAGGATATGAAATTGTTAGAGTGTTGTGTTGAGCTATGTGTTTTGTAAACTTTGAACTGTTATGTTGGGCTGGTACTAAGCAGGTTGTAGTTGTGGAGGTGGTAATTGATGAACTTGTTGTTGAGAATATATGATTGTTAGAATGTCGTTGTTGAGATATGTGCTTGTAAATTGTGAATTGTTAGGTTGGGCTGGTTTTATACAGATTGTAGTTGTGAAGGTTCGGTTGGGGTGTAAGGAGTACTTGTATTCTATCCCCTTAGCTCGTGTTTAGAGGTTTACTTGCTGAGTACCGTGTGGTTTGGTACTCACCCCTTGCTTCTACAAATTTTTGTAGGTTACGAGCCTGAATTTTTGTGGTACTTGTCATTCTCTTCTTTTCCAAGGCTTCTGGGAGATTTGTGAGGTAGTTGTTTGTCTTCTCAGCGATCCTTCTTACTCCTGTTTATGATCTTGTTCTACTCTAGAAACAATGTCATATGAGACTTGTATTTTTCTTTTGATTCAATTGTAATACTTTAGAGGCTTGTACACGTGACAACCAGATTTTGGGGGTATATTTGAGTTTATTATAAAAATTTCCGCATTTTATTGTAATGGTTGAGTTTTAGGCTGACTTGTCTTGGTGGGTTAAGACGAGTTCCATCACGTCCATTTTTGGGTCGTGACATCCAACTTGAAAAATTATGTTAAAAATGGAAAATAAAAAGTGAAATAAATTTAATTGAGAGTTATCCTTCGTCTGTCCCATTTTATGTGACACTTTTTATTTGTTGAGAATCAAATAGTTTAAGTTTGATCGTAAATTTGCGTATGGTATCTTCAATTTTTTAAAAATGAAATTTATATATTTGTAAACTACGTAAAAATCAAAATATTATAATTCATAATAATTAATAATTCAAAATATTTTAAAGATCTATGAAAAATTTAATATCAAAGATAAACTAAAGAGAGTAAAAGGGGAGAATGGAAAGTAGAAAAAAAGGGAAAAAACGAATATATATAGAGAGAATCTGAGGAAAAAAAGTCAGAAAAGTAATTATTCATGTGGGTTGTTGTATATGTAGAAAGACACGTGTACAATTAATGAGCGACAATGAATTTTATAGTACAATTTGAAATGCTTTGTGTACAACTTTGTAGTGCCGTGTTCGTCCTCTAAAGTCTCACTTCTAATAAGGAGTAATATAAATAAGAAGTATAAAATAAAGTTGAATAATTTTACAATATAATTTCTCAAAGTTGGATGATCTTTTGAGATATTTACTCGAAAATTAAGAGAAATTTAACGATTTTGGAATTATAAGATTGTAAGGGGAAAATGGATCAATTCATAGATAATATAAAAAGCATCTATGTGATATATATATATAGTACATGTGTCTTTGTGATATTAGTGAGGTAAACTTAAGAAAATTGCATATTTGTCCTTGTTGGTCCTTCCTAACTCCCTACATAGTACATGTGTCTTGATATGAGTGCGAAGTAGTACTTGTTTAATGAGGTGGGCCCCAATACAATACAACTTATATTACCTTTGGTATATCTATTTGATGCTGTGTTAGTCCTTTTAACTGTCATTTCTAAATAAGAGTAATAATTAAGGTCTTGTTGAACTAATTAAAGTGCTGCTTAAAGATTTTGTTTAAGTGAAAATAATGGTACTTACTTTTAGAAATAAACTAGTGCTTACAAAATCACGACTTTTTTTCTGGTAAATTTGATTCATATCTTGTTTGGAACAAAAAAGTAAATATTGATCCCCAACTTATGTACCACAATTCATTTTTCATTTTGAAGTTGAGAGTTTTCTACTTAAAATTATAAAATATTTGATCAAATTAAGAGTACTTATAAGTTGTAAAATTATAAGTTGTAGGTTACTGACTTGTAACTTTTGACTGATTTTAGCTCAAAAAAGTTAACGTGTAAATAGGGATAGATATGATATGGTATATAATGAATTATTATACTATATTAAAAATTTTGATATCATAATTTGGTATAGTATATGGTATATATTTTAAATTTTTTTGGTATTCAGCACGATATTTGATATTTAGAAATAACATATCGAAATAACGAATATCATACTGAAGTATATAGTTACATAATAATAATAATAATAATAATAATATATATATATATATATATTTATAACCTAGTATTAGTATAAACTAAATGCTTAGAAGTTGAAGTTGTGACTACTCTATTTTGATTGAAATGTATTTTAAATGTAATTGATTAACAAAAGGAGTTGTTTGTACTTTCTTTTGAATATATATTTCTATATGTGTAATGTGTTAATATGAATACAATCGAGAATTTTATTGAATTGTCGAAATCATAATACTCTATTATATGAGTATATAATAATTGAAGTTGAACAAACTATGAATATCAATTTGCCACACCACAAATATCGAAATCGAACTTTAAAATATCAAATCATACTAAATTAAATTGATACGATCATGATATAATGATTTTAAAAACCGAATATCAAAATTACAATAGCGAAATTTAAAATAATGTACCATACCATGCCCACCCTACATGGTGTAAGCAGTTTTTGTGTTACCAAACACAAACAAAATAAAAAATCCATATAAACTAATTTGACAACCTATAAGGGTGTGTTTGGCTTGTAGGAAAACAAATTGCACAATATTTTTCATGTTTAATTGATAATATAAATCTATTACTTTCCTATTAAATTAAGAAACCATGTTTGCGCTCCACGCTCACTATTTCCTCCACATCCTCCTATCAACCCACTTACTCTGATCATCACACACACACCCACCCTCTTATCTTCACCTCTTGGTGTTTGCCTAGATTAAATATAAAAAAATTAAAAAAATATTTTTTAACTTACTTAGCAAATATCACAACAAAAAAAGTAATAACGATTTTGAACATAAATCTTTTTTTCCTTATTTCTCAAGTGTTTCTCGAAACCATGATTGGTTACATATTAGAATGATTTTTAGGTTAATTTTTTAAGAAGCGTTTCTCAAGTGAAATTTTTTCCCCACTTATAGAACTTCAAACTTTTTCTCAAATAAATTATACGTTCAACTTCCAAATATATATATAAAACTCCATTACACCTACTAAAAAATCACTGTTTTGGAGGGAGATAGTAACTTTCATTGCCAAACTCCAAAAGAAACATGTCATTTTCAAAATGATTGACATGAAAAATATAGTAAAAGGTTTGGCAACTTAAGTTCCCAAATTCCCCAATCAGAAAGTACATGATCCCCATGTGCCTCAAGAGGTTCACATCCTAGCCAGCTAACAAAATTTAAAAAATTATGCCATCCACATACAAAGATCATTATCACATTATTACTAAGTATTATTCAAGCAAACAATTGCATGTGGACAAAAATATTAAAACTCATAATGCTAATATTAACCATTTCCAGAGGGACAAAGTTGAACTAACATAACCAAACACCCCACATGTTAATCCACAAATCATACTTTGTTTTGGCTTACCATTATTTTTTGCAAGTTCCAAAATATCAAAAGCAATAGAAACATAGAAAAATAGTAACCACTACTATTTTTGCCTTTTCCCCAACACCCCCTACACCTTAAAATTTCCATGTCATGAATAGTAAATTATGTACTCTTCAAACACCAAACTTAATTCCTTGTCCTCCCTCTCCACAAAGATTTAAAGAATCAAAATTTTTCATGCTTTTTTTAACATATAGTTTTATAATACTAAAGTACCTTTTCATCATCATTGACCTCATGACCTTTTTCTTTGTCACATTTTTCTTGCAATTCATCACCACTACCTTCTTTAGGACTCTCAACTAACAATGCCCTTTTCACTTGCTCCTCATCCTCAATTGTGTTGTTTTCCTTTGATTTACCTGCATTATTATTACTCTTGTTGTCATTCCTCTCCGCTCTTGTCTTCAATGCTTCCAGTAATTCCCAGACCGCCTTGTCTTTATTCCTCCTGTTCTTGATTAACACCTCACTTATATCCGCGGGTGTCATTTCAGCTCGCCACATCACTTGCTCCAATTGATCTAATAATTCCTTCTCTACATCATCTTCGCTGTATCCCAAGTAATTCTTTAACAGAATCTTGAGTGCAGCGAAAGACGAATAGCTCATGTGAATGTGCATGTCCATTCTTCCAGACCTCAACAACGCCGGATCAAGCTTCTCAATGTGATTCGTTGTGAAAACAAATATCCTCTCACTACCACAACACGACCATAAACCATCAGTAAAATTCAACAAACCCGATAGAGTTATAGTATTCCCACCACCATCTTCACTATTCGAACCAACACCGCCACTCCCAGGAGGTGAAACATTGTAACTGCTACTACTACTGCTGTTATTTTTCCTGTTAGTCAAATTGATAGAACAATCAATGTCTTCAATGACAATAATAGACTTCGAACTCGTTTTCATCAACAATTTCCTCAACTCGGAATTAGTATGCACTTCTGTTAATTCAAGATCATAAATATCATAACCAAGAAAATTAGCCATTGCAGCAATCATACTAGACTTGCCTGTACCTGGTGGTCCATAAAGAAGATAACCTCTTTTCCAAGCCCTGCCTGTTCTCTGATAAAAAGATTCCCCATTCGCAAAATCCAAAAGATCTGCCATAATCTCAGCCTTTTTCTGAGGATCCATAGCAAGTGTCTCAAAAGTACTGGGATGCTTAAACGGTACCGACTCCCAAGGATGACCTCTCGAATCAAGTGAACCTCCACGTGAATTCGTATACAGCAATCGATCCTGATTTTTTCTTCTGATTTCATTAGCTTTTTCCATAACGAAATCCAGATAAGCACCTAATACAACAGATTTATCTTTTTTCTTAGCTCGGAGAAGAAACCCCCTTTTTTCCTCCGGTAATGGCCGCCATGAAAATGTCTGTGAGTTTCTCGGAGTGACCACATGTTCCCAATGAACTTTAACGCCATTAAATGCATCTATTAGAGAATCGTTATTCGATAGCCCGAAAGTTATGTTGCTCGAATTGAGTCCTCTTGTTAGACTCAAACGATTACCAGTAACACAAGCGTAGCTGCTCAGGTAGAGCTGAACAGCGTTGTAAAGCTCGTTGGTGTTTACTCCGTCGATCTCAGTGATGTCGTAGTAGCAATAAGCGGAGAACCAGTTACAGATTCGATGAATGATTTTGAGAATGGCGAAACGAATCTCAGGTGGGAAAACTACTTGAAGAATGCTTTGACTGAATGCCCATACACCCATCATCGATGCCAACGTTGTCCATACCTCCTTCATCGTGTGCAACTTCTTCACTATAGAGTTTTTGGAAGAGAAAATAGTGTGCAACTTCTTCACTATAGAGGTGAATAGTGAAGAGAGAATAGTGTGCAACTTCTTTACTAGTTTTGAATCTTAGAAAGTGAAGAGAAAATAGTGTGCAACTTCTGGGCTATAGAAAAGATATTTGAAGTTTTTTTTTGTACAATTTTTATAGAAGGAAGGTTGGTGAGTGTTTTGTAAAAGTTTTTTTGGTTAAGAGAATTAAAGAAAGAGGCAAAAAGGTACTGAAAAGGTGTGAGGTTTTTTGTTTTGAGATGGGAATTGGGAAGAGAGTTGGCTGGCAATGACTAATAAGAGACTATCAGAAAAAGAGATACTGTCTACAAGTAATAAGATACTCTTTTCAGTCCAAATTTAAGTTTTTATTTTTATTTTAATTGAATACTAAATTTAAAAATGGAAAAAATGTAAATATGTCTCTAACTTTTACTATTTAGAATTAAAACGGAAAAAAGTAAATATGTCCTGGTTTAATTTTAATTGTCATAATTTTCTAGTCAAACGATATGAATTTTGATTAAATTAAATTTAAAAATAAAAAAAAGGTAAATATGTCTCGCAATTTTACTATTTAGAGTAAAAACGGAAAAAAGGTAAATACTTTCTCCGTTCAATTTTAATTGTCAAAATTTTAAATTTCAGAGTCAAACAATATGAAGTTAGACTAACTTTAACTAAAATTTAAAAATGGAAAAAAGGTAAATCTGTCTCTAAATTTTACTTTTTAGAGTAAAAATGGAAAAAAGTTAAATAATCCTATCGTTCAATTTTAGTTGTCAGAATTTATTTATTTTAGAGTCAAATAATATGAACTTTGATTAACATTTAAACATATATTTTTTCATTATGTTGACATAAAAATTATAATTTATAGTATTTTTTAAATAGATTTTGTATATGTAACTTTTTATTCTAAAATATTGAATTAATATAATCTAATTTAGTTTTTAAAATTAGGAAAAAAATAATTTTCGAAAAACCAACATAACAAACTAAAAAGAAAATATCTTTAAATTTCACGTACTATTTAGAGGGAAGAATATGATGTATATTTATTTTTTATAGTCTATATATATTTATTGAATTAAAAAAATTGATTTCACGAGTAAAGAATATGATGTATATTTATTTTTTATAGTCTATATATTTTTATTGAATTAAAAATATAAAAAAATAATTTATTTTTAATTCCAAAAATATCACATGATTCTAAAAATTACCTCACTCATTTGTTTTACACTCTAAACCCAACCCAAATGGAAAAAAGCCTTAATCACTCTTTTACTCAATCATAAAATAAATATGCATCGAATCTGAATAAAAGAAGAATTAAATAATTCAATATGTTAATGAAAAGGATAAACCTACATCAATTTTTTTTAATGAGAGAAATATTCACTCTAAATCATAGAATAGAGGAGTATATTTACCCATTTAATTGTACAATTTTTCTTGATAGTATCGGGTGTAACACCAATTCAATATATGCATGTCATGTGTTTAAATTTATAATTCACTTAACTTTAATTAATTAATGTGTATTTTACTTTATTAAATAACATAATAATAAAAATTACATTAGTTTGATGTATACGCCTGATACGTTAAATTGAAAAGAAGGATAATACAAAACAATGGGACCCTCAGTGACTGACAGACAGAAAGGAGGAATAGAGGGTGGGGGATGAGTCTGAAAAAATAAAACAAAAAGATGTTTTGGATGGGCAAGTGTGAGTTGGTTCTGAATAGATCAAAGATGGGACCTAATATTATAGACTTGGACTTTAGTGAGCTACACTAACTTTTTCTTCTAAATTTTACCCTTTTTTTCATCTTCTTCTATCTCATAATGGAAAACTAGAATCAGCTTCTTCACTTTCCATCTATCATTTCTTCTCTTCATGGTAAGGTGCATTACCATTTTAAAAAAAATTATTTTTGGTTTTAAAAAAAAATGTTTTATGTTATTTTTTTGTTTCAATTTAATTAATATAGTCTGACTAAACACAAAATTTAAGAAATATGAAAATAGTTTATAACATCTTCGTTACATAAGTGAAATTCAACATGAGTAAATGTTGATAGTGTCATATCATGTATTTTATTAGTATTATATTAGATTTCTTATTGTTTTTGTTGTGAAATCGCTCATTATCCACTACACGCATAGTTACTAGATACTCATAAAGAAGCACATTACAATATTTGTATACTTCTAACCGGAATCCTATTAAAAATGGGAGTGAATAGATTAATTTGAATCAATATGGAATTATTATCTCATGTCCATTCTATATTTTGTCCTTGATTGACGATAATAGACATATTAATACGAATAATCTATGTAGCTTCAACATTTCTTGACTAGTTATGAAATATATGTCAAATTAAAAAATATGTATTTGATGTAGTTTCTTTTTTGTATTTATGCACTTAATGATTAGATGGATCTGATCTTTTTATTTTGTGTACCTGAACAGTTCTTCTATGAATTTGATATGGTATTTTTTTTATGCATCTGATATCTACTTAATCATTAGATGTATATGATCTGTTCATTTTGTGTATTTGAATTTATTTATTTTAGGTATCTTATATAGTTTATTTTATGCATCTCATAAAACTTACCGCAAAGTCAATGAACGCGAAGAAGGAAAACAAATGCTTGAAGGAGAAAATAAATGAATTTAAATTTATATATCTTTTACCGTATGTTATTAATATCGTGCAATCCTTCATTATCAGAGTTGGACCACGTGCCCCTGTGAGGGGCACATGCACCCGTTAACTTTGGAAAATTACATATATATAATATATATATATATATATATACACACACTTTGAGATAGACATATATATATTTTACTAGGCATCAAAGACACCAAAATTATTTGGGTGTTGGTTCAACCGTCGCACCCTCCCGAGGTAAGGGGACTGAGTTTGAATCTCATTTACTACTTTTCTTGTTCTTTTTTTCGTTTTTATCTATGAAACTTAAAATATATATTTTCGTTTTTATCTTTAACCTTGCGACCTCATGGTGCAATAAAGTTCAAACTACCACTCCACAAAGCAAACTTTTTCTAGTAGAGTCATTTAATTCATATTTATATGTCAGTACATTAATTTTATATTTAATAAAATTATCATAAGAATTGACATTGAATTACATGTTTTAGCTAACATGCATCAACCTTTGATGGTCTTTAAATTATGGGGCTGCTATTTTATTTTTATATTAAAAATCGCTGCTAGAGCAGCGATTTTGTAAGTTTTTTTTTAATTATTATTAAAAATCGCTGCTTATTATTATTAGGCAGCGATTTTGTAAAAGATTTTTTTTATTATTATTATTAAAAATCGCTGCTAGGAGCAGCGATTTTGTAAATAATAATAATATTTTTTTAATTAAGAATCGCTGCTGTTAAATCAGAATATTTTTTTCCCTTACACATCGCTATAGGGGCATCGTTTTTCATGCCTATTGTTAATTATTAATAATATAAAAATGATAAACAAGACGGACAGTATACTCAATAAAATTGTTGAAGCATGAGGAAAATTGAATTATATATCATAAATAATAATAAAAGAATATTAAATTTAAAAGAAAAAACTTTTTTTAAAAAAATTTCTTAACCAAAATCAAGAAAAAAAGTTTTTTGGAAAAAAAATGGCAGCGATTTTGTCATTGTATCAGAGGGAAATCGCTTCGTCAGGAGCGATTTTGCCCTTTTGGTTTAAAAAAATTTGATGTGCCCTTTTGGAATTTTTGACAATTTTTTTCCCCTTTTGGCTCCGCACTCAAAATAATGTGTCTATAATGGACAATGTTTTAGTTTTAATTATATGTTTAGTTTAAAGTAGGATAAGCTACAAATTCGTCAAAGTAGAATTTTACATTTTACTGAAATAAAATTTAGTGATAGATAGAAATGAAAGTTTTTCCAAATATTCCATTAAAATTTTCTTTCAAATCGTACATATTTTTATTTCTATCATCAGTAGACAATGTTTTCCCTTCAGCTTCTAAATTGATTAGTTTGTTCCATTTTTATTTTTATGGAATTATACATAAGTAAATTTATATATTTAGAGAGGGTGTTGTTTAGACTTATTAGAAATATAGTTTAATGAGGTTGTTTACTCCCTCCTCCGTCCCATTTTATGCTATACTTTTCAAATTTCGAAATTTAAACAAATCTATCTTTGACCGTAATTTTGTCATAGATCTTTTAAACATTATAAATTATTGTGACTTATAGTACTTTTTACGTAGATATACATTTTATTTCAAAAAAATTGAAAATTCAATGCGCAAATTTTCGGTCAAACTTAAACTGTTTGACTCTCGAAATTAAAAAGTGTCACATAAATTGAGACAGGAGGAGTATAAAATTTGGAGTCGTCTAAGGGAGATTGAACTTTTTTTTACCCTCCCTAGGAACTCCCACCCTTTTTGCTCCCTTGGTGACTCGAACTCACAACCTTCAGGTTGAAAATGAGGGGTGCTTAATTCTTACCATCCGAGCAACTCCCTCTCTTCAGGGAGATTGAACTAGTTTTGAACAAGAATTGCATTTTTATACAAGGGAGGTATTATATGTATATAGATATATAAAAATGTATAATCGTGTATAATAGATGTTTATATACTTATATACACTATTATACAATACTTTACACTCTTATATTACACTTGATTTCGTCTTTAATTTTTCCTTGCGCCTCTTCTCGAATTATGTCTTAATTTTTCATATTATTTCTTATGTCATCCATAAAAAACGTCAATTTTTTCAATAATTTAATAAATTTATTAATGTTTTCCCAAATAAACAATGCATGTATACGAGACGTATACCAAAGGTGAAAGGTCTTAATGGATTCACCAACATGTACTATCTTTTTTATATGAATTATAAAGTTATTTCTTGTACATTCTATTTGTTTCTTTTTTATATTATAACTTAGTTTTTAT